CACCCACGGCGCGGTGGAGCAGGGAACGCAGCAGCTCCAGCTCGGCCGCCAGCTCGGCCAGGCGGAAGTGCACGGCCTGATTGTGCAGCACGGGCCGGCCGAACGCCTCCCGCCGGCCCGTGTACTCCGTCGTCTCTGCCAGCAGCGTCTCCAGCGCTGTCAGCACTGCAGGGAGCAAAGCACAGGGCAAGACAGAATTTTAGTCACAGCCGCCGGGTTTGTTTTTTTTTTTTTTTTTTTAAAAAAAGGTTTTCTAAAGTAAATTATTCCATAAGCTCAGTTTGGGATGCAGTTTCAACTGTGAAAAAGAGTCTGGTATTTCCTTATATGTTGAAGACTTCCTTATCCCTATTTCACCTGAGCCCTAAACTGACAAAACTCAGCGGCGAGTGGAGTTGGGAGGAGGGGAGGAAAGTCATACAAAGCAGTATGTAATGACATGTATCCAGACTCTACCCATAAATGCTTCATTTGGGGCCTTAGCAAGAGCTTGTGGCAACTCCACTTTCCATGTTACCTGTGTCCTGAAGGTACCTTACAATCCTGAAAGGAAATATGAAGGCAGAGTGCTCACTGAGGAATGCTGTAGAAATGTAAATTCAAGGAAGCTTTCAGGGAGAAGGCAGAAACCTATTAAGAGACCAAGGAGTTTGAACAGACTGCTTGTTACATCTGCATTCTGTGATCAGATCCCAGTACAGAAAGGAAGGGAAAATCATTAAGAGTCACAGCCACTTTTAGTAAATGCTAAACAGTTCATCTAATGAAAATAGAATCAATGTAAGATACTCCTGGAAGACAGGTGTGATGGCAGACATTGCTGTAATGCAAGAGAACTAGTACACTGCTACTTCTTGAGCAAATTTATGAGACACTCTTGTTTCAAACAAGGAGAAAAGGGAAAAGTTTCTTCTCCAATGCAAACCAGGCTTGAAATGAAGGGCTAGGCTATCGGTCTCTTGCAGTTTGCTAGGATAACAGCAGGTGCTAAATTTGTGCAGAATTTTGTTTGGCAGACATGGACCCATGTCACCATGGCAAGAAGAAGGGAGGAGAGAGTTCAGAAATCCATCTGTAAGAGAAGGGTCACATGTGCTCTTTTCAATAACTGCATATTCACTTCCATTCACATTTAGAATCTAAACCACAAAACTCTGAATCTGAAATGCAAAATACAGTCAAGCCCTTGACTACTACAAAATCCCTTTTTCCACCTGCCAGTTACTCATATGACAGTTCCTTACAGGAGCCTGGTGCGCTTCCACCTTCCTTTTTGCATTGCTTTCAAGATCACTTCTATTTAAACTTCATCCCTCTACTGCTCTCATATGCAGAATCTGCATCCCACCAATTGCCCCTGCCATGATTGTTCATCAGCTCTTCCACACAGTGCTGTTTTTCACATGCTATCCCCACATTCTGTAAGATGATCAGCTTTTCTCTGTGCTGAGACAGTGGAACAGGTTGCCCATCCGGATGATGCCCCATCATTGCAAATGTTCAAGGTCAGGTTGGATGGGGCTTTGAGCAATGTGGTCTAGTGGAAGGTGTCCATGCCCTTGGCAGGGGGATTGGATGAGATGATCTTTAAAGGTCCTTTCTGATGCAAACCATCCTGTGATACTATGAGTACAGGTGTGTAGAGCTACATGCATAGCTGTAACACTGCAGAGCTTAGCTGTGCAGCAAACAGCAATGGAACGCAGCATGTCATGAACACCATGACTGCCAACAGCCTTGTACAACATAACAGCACGCAATACTTTGCCAGTCATATAAGTACAAAGAAATGCCATTCTTAACAAAAAAATGCCAACTCAAATTCATTTTCTCTCTGATTTTTTTTTTTTTTTTCTGTATACTTGTTTCCACTTTTGTCATATAATCCTCAGCAAACTTGGTCCCATGGGTTTCAACTGACAGTACATGCAGGAAACATCCCTCTAGGCAGCCTAAAGAACATATGGTCTGGTCTACCACACAGCTGAGAATTGTGAAAGCACTTCAAGTTGCCAGATGCAGACTAACTTTTTTACTCATACCTCCATCCAACTTTATTTCTACTTGAAACTTCTGCTCACTGTAAACATACTTTGCCTTGCTATGTCTCCTCACACAATGAAAGTAAATTAATATATTAGGTTGTGGCTGATCCCTCTTCTAGTGAAATGTGCAGTGAGATCCTAGCTGAGCAATCTGTCTCTTAAGGATGTGTGTTGTCCATGCAAAAGGATCTGTCATCCTGCTTACATGGCCATGACTCAATGGTGCTCGTAAAACTGAGAGTACAGGAGCATACAGAAGTCATTAGAAAAGCGTCATTCTTCTCTCTCATACACACTGAACTCCCCCTTTGCCTCTAAATTAAGCAATTCATAAAAAACCTGTTTGCTTTCCTGCCATCACAACATTCTTTTCCTATGATCAGTGCAACAGGTCCACAGAGCCACGGTGTTTACCTAGTGTCACAACACGGGAGAGATACATGGCAGCTCTTCTCTTTCAATGAAGCAACAAACAGCAACTTTTACCAACGCTTTTGATGACATGCCACTCAGAAGAAAAGACCACACCTGTGACCAAATTTTGCAATTCCAGGAAATTAGTTTTCTATTTATAGTTTAAATCTATTTGACTGAAAATTCATTTTAAAAGGAACAAAAAAAAAAAACCAAAAACAAAAACAAGAACAACAACAACAAAAAACACAAACAAACAAACAAAAAAAACCCCTTGAAGATGCAAGGAAATTCCCACACAATCTGAAATCTGGTCACAAAGAAGATAATTAATAAATAAAGAGAATGCTGGAGTATATGATATTTGATACTGAAAATGCATAAAACTAAAAGAAAAAACCCCAAACACAACAAAAGAAAACAATGCCCAAAAAGAAAAGAAAAAAAAGAATGGCAGTCAACTGCCACTTCCAAGTTTTAGGAAGCAGTGAAAGCAAATATGCCAGGACTGTTCCCTAAAGTGTTTAAAAACAGACTGAAGGTTTTCTATGTCACATGAATAGTCATGAAATGGGAAGGAACACAAATGTCCTTCAGAGGGCCAGAAGTGAGGACTAGGATTTTACATGCAGATCTAATCAGAAAACTACCAAAGGCACATAAGACAGTTTTGCAATTCTGAGCCTCCAGCAAAACACTTGCGGTTGAACATATGTAAAACCATTTGCAGGACTGGAAGTTAACACCTAAAAGTCCTAGTGTAACAGGCTGCATCCATCAAACACCTGGCCCCCTTCTGAACATTTCTTTTTTCATTGTCTTTTTTCTTGCTAACCTCTGAAGTTTGGAACTTCATATGTCTTGTCCCTGCTCCCAGGGCTTTCATTCATTTTATACCAGATGGTGGATAAAGCAAAACTAAAGGGCCCAGGGAGGTACAACACACTGGCTGCTGCACTGCAGGAAGCAGCTCCCAGGCTCTTCCTCCCTGCTGGCCCCTGCCTGGCCATGGTGGGGGGGATTGAAGATGCCCTTCCCAGACTGCTCATCTAGGGTAAGTGTTTGCTGCTCCCACTGCTGTTCTGTGCAAAAAGAAGAATTGAAACCTGGTGTCCCACTTCCTGGGGCACGGTGACTGCCAGGCAGTTGTGCAAGACTGGACAGTACCAAGCTGTCAGTGGTTTTAACAGAAGTGATCTAACCTGCCAGGCTCTGTGTTTTGATACTGTCAGTGCCAGTCACTTTTGCCTGGGGCATGACTAATGCAGCAGGCTACTCTGCTGCCTGGGGAGTGTCACTGCAACCCAGTGTTTCTGATTGTTTTGTTAAACTTAGATTTCAAACTGAGAAAAAAAAAAGGTACAATGCACTTCCTTACAGCCTGTGTACATCTCAATTAAAGCAAGACCATCAGTAGGACCTTGTCTCCTTGCCCCAGTCTGCACTGGCACCCCTTGCAAGTTTAATCTCCTGTTCTTTGCTACTCTCACATTTACCATTTAATCAGTCTGAACTAAGAGTTTTAGCCCAAAGCAAAGATCTTTTTTTTTAAGGCATTTGAATTCTAAAATATTTGGCCTGGGACCAACCCACAACAGGGGGTGATTTTTCATTTGGTCTTCTGAATCAGAAGATCACTTTCTTAAGAGTTCCTAATTCCCCGAGTTCAGAGTAACAGGAACTCTGTGACAGCCTAACTTCAGGGAAAGGAATTTGGTGCCATACCAAAAGTGTCCAAAGTGTACTGAATTAAAACGGATCCACAAAACAAAGCTCTCACATCCTGTAAGAGCCAGTTCTTTACAGACCCCCTGAGTTAATTTTCTAAAATCCAGGATAAACATCATAGCTTACTGTACTACAGGAAAAGCTATCATCCTTCTATTTCATGCCAGTATTTTGATAGCCTTTATACTGTATTTGTAGCAGACAATGTGATGCCATATTTTCTTATCAGCAGAAAAACAACAAGCAAAAGAGACAGAAAAAAAAGCCTCTGTGATGCTTCACAAAATATCTTCTATTTCAAGTTTCCCTACAGAAATGGAAGGTGGTCTGGATCCAGGCTATGACAGATTTTAGAACACATCATAAGAGGTCATTGCAACTTACAATGAAAGGCAAGTGCTGTTAGTCATGCGAAGGGCGACCCGTGCCCCTGCCCGGCCCCAGAAGCACAGATGATGACTTACCATTGGCTACTCCCCACAGCCGCTCTTCTTGGAACTGCAACATCTGGTACGTAAACCCCATTCCTTCCTCACCGATGAGGTTGCTGCTGGGCACCCTTACGTCTTCAAAAAAGATCTGAGCTGTATCCGATGACCTCATGCCCAGTTTGTCTATCTTTTTAGCAACAAGAATCCCTGAAGAAAAAGGGATATTAGAAAGGCCATAAAAAATAGAAGCACTATGTACAACGTAGCATTTTAAGAAAGTGAATCTTGCACATGTGAAGGTATGTGCCAGGACTACAGTGAAACCTACCTTTAGGAAAAATAAAGCAGTATTCTGGAATTTAAGACTAAAATGGCCCACACCCTATTTTTAACAGTTTTTCCATTTTATTTAACTAGCAAATCAGAAACTGCAAGTGTAACGATCCCACTTTTCATTATGTCCCTGAATAATAATTGTTTACTAGTAGCAATAATCTTATTTCATGCACACCTTGACATAATTAATATTTATTTGCTTGTGGTTTATTTCAATGTTCTATAATAAAATGCTGGAATTCAATTTAGCATTCTTTGCTGTGTGCCTCCACTGCTATGAAACAGTAGAGAAATACTTAATGTTGACAAAATCAGCTACATTTTAAGCCGCAAATAGGGAATCTATCTTCCTAGAAACTCTCTTCCTTTCCTCTCTTCCCCATTTATCCTCTCTTTTCCAGCCTATCCTCATATTTTCTGTCTCCTTTAGAACAGAAGAGTTTATAACCACATCACACTACTTTTTCCAAATAATAAAAAGTTACTCAAATTCATAACTTCCACAACTATCCAACAATTCCCTACCAACTACAAATTTTGTTAAAACTATGTATTTTATGATGGCCTACAAAATATTTTTTAGTTCATCTAAACAGACACAGCAGGGTTCATAGTGATCACAATTAATTCCTCTGAGTTTTCATGTGGACATGCTCATGAAAAGGGTTTGCTTACCCACTGAGCTCCCTACACAACACTGACTGACCCCACAGGCAATGGCCTGTTGGAGATGAACCTGGTTCCTTCAGGTTTGGCCATGTAAGACTTCAGTCTTCATCTTCAGTCACACCAGGTAGGACTCCTTCCTGACTGTTTTTTTTTTTCCCAGCTACAAGTTCTTGCTACTGCTCAAATGCAAGCATGGCTTACTGCTGTGGCATGAAAACTTGTGCCATGAGTGGGTGCTGGTCTCTTCTCCCAGGTAATATGTGATAAGACAAGAGGAAATGTTCTCACGTTGCACCAGGCAGAGGGTTTGGTTGGATATTAAGAAAAATTTCTTCACTGAAAGAGTTGTCAACCACTGGAATGGGCTGCCAGGGAAATGGTGGAGTCACCATCCCTGGAGGTGTTTAAAAGATGTGTAGATGAGGTGCTTAGGGACATGTTTTATTAGTGGGCTTGGTATTGTTAGGTTAAATGTTGGACTCATGATCTTAAAGGTCTTTTCCAACTGAAAGGATTACATGATCGAGTTTTTACCTCCTTGTTTCCCTGGGGCTAATATGAATATTCATGGTGAAACTCAAGAACGTTTCAGGGGTAAACTGTGGCAAATATAGGTATAAGGATTTGTGCAAAACATGCTTATTACATTTGCCCAGGCAATATACATAGAAAACCAGTCACCTAAATCAGCATATATATCCTTGCAGAAAACTAAACATTTTGCTGCCCACATACAAGGCATTGTAACCAGTTTTGTGATGAGGAAGCATTCTGGTAATATTTTCCTTTTTTTTTTTTTTTTTCTCCAGTCCTCTGCTGCTCTTTGGTGTAGCTCAGTAGGAGTTGGTCACAACACACACATTGTTGTGGTCCCTCTCTCTGCTTGTTTGTACCTTACTATCCTTCATGGCTTTCAGTGAACATCTCTTTCTGAACTAATATAGACATCTCAACTTCTACTAACAGGACACGTTCAGTCATGTGAAAATTGCTTTGGTTTTGCAGGCAGAAAGAAGTTGGCAGTCATTCCCTTCAAATTCACTCTCTTGCTGCATTGAATAAGGTTATGGAAAGTTTCATCTCTCTGCAGAGATGAAATACTGATTCTACTTCCAAATGCCAAGACTGCTCTCAGAATAAGGTCCACTCGGACTTCTACATCTTCCGCTCAAGATTTTTCTCCACCAGCCAATCTATAAACAGATTGTATGTTAGGAATACTTCCTTTTTATGTGCTCAATGGAGGAAGAAAATTAGGACAGCTGTATTAACATTTTTGAATTGGATTGAAAATTACTCAGCAATTTACACCCAGTCATGCCAAAAACGCATTTGTGGTCTGTTTCTGTATTAAAATCAGAGCTAAACAAACACACACTGAACCAATTACAGGCCCAAATGATTTCTGGAACATCTATTCCCCTTGGAATATAACTGCTTACTTTCTTTGAGTATCAAAGATCATGTCTTCGGTCTACTTCCAGCAGCTTTTATGCAATCACTGCCCCTCCCCTACATGAAGATGCACTTACAGCTCTTGTCAGTGCATGGTTTACTACGGACTTTGCTGAGAAAAGTACAACTGCTGCCAGTTCTTTATATAGCTAAATCAATCTTGTTGTGTACTTCCTCCAGTCCACATACAACAACAACTACTGAAGCAATGTCATATAAGTTTGGTTAGAGGAGCTAAATGTGTTGACGATTTCTATCCACACTTCTTCCAGACTGGGTTGTGTGTTCAAGTTTACTGAACCCAGCAGCATCTCCCCTTTCCAGTTTCAACTTGCCCTCAGATTAATTAATCTTTCTCATTCAGAAGGAGGCCAAACTGCATCAGCTTCATTTAGTGTCCCTTCTGCTGCTACCACATGCTTTACATTTTCTCATTTTTGAAGACAACTATAAGTGATCATCACTTTGACTACAATAGAGGCATCAAAATCTTCCTTTACTTACTTTAATTATCTTCATTCTCTTCGTAAGGGGTACTATATGCTAAAAATTACCAGCAGCTTTAGTTCCATTGCAGGGAACTAATTTTTCAGATTATCTGCCCAGATAACTCCTGGAGCTTGTCTGTGTTAAATAAATCCCAAGCCATCCAACAATACACAAATCAATCTAGCAAGGCCAAGTGCTTGACTTACTAAAATCACTCTAACTGAGCCATTTGTGCTACTTGTACCAGTCATCACCAAGATGGATTGCTGTATCTCTTCCTGGACAGTTCTTACCGGGTGTATTTGATTTTCCATTTTCTCCCACTCCTCCAGCCTTCTGACAATCTGTTTTATCTCCTATATTCGCTCCCGAGAGAAAAGCAGTTGCTCTCTCCTGACACCATTTAGTGCCATTATGAATGGAAAGAGGCACATTTTAAACTACAACCCGAGAAATATGCTCTTTCCCCTTTTCCTGGATGTCCTTTCTCTTTATTATCTCCTCCTTGCAATCTACCTGAGCTGTATCTGAGGATTCAAAGGATAAACCAGAGCACAAATAGTCACCAGATTAGGGCTGCAAGCCATTTGTCTACCTTACACACAGACTTTTTACAACTTGTTAAATTCTCTTTCATCATATGAGAAATTCAGGGTTTTTTTAAAGACATCATTAGTATGAGAAGTATTCAACTGATTTGGTTATCTTCTGTGAATTCACATTGTCATCACCCAGATTCCCTTTATGAAAAATGTATTCAGCAGTGTCCATCAAATCTAGACTATGATTTGCTTCACCTCAGAAGAGATACTGTATACATCTAAATTTAGAAGAAGCAAATCCTGCTTCCCCAACAAACTACCAGTTACTGAAGTCAATAAGGATGAAACAAGATTTTCATAAAAACTGCTGGACTGGTCTCCTATGTCCTTACAGCTGCTAGCAAGGAATAAGTTACCTCTTCCTCCTCCTGCCACAAAGGCTGGTGACCGCAGCAGTTAGTCACACATACCACACTCATTCTCCACTGCACTCATTCTAGAGCTTTGACACACATACATCTATAGATACTTGAAACTGCATCATTCAGTGACGTCTTCCAGATAGTTCCCATGCACTCTTGGTCTGCTGCCATCCAAGGAGCACAATCTCTGGCAGACAGACATCCTTAGGATGTATCACAGCTGGAGCTTCCTCCTCACATCTGTGTCAAATGGCAGATTTTGTCATGCTCTTCCTCTTTGTCTTCCTGAAAAATCTCTCTTCTGATATGATCTACCCACTGAGCACAATCAACTGTCTCAATACTTCATTTTAAAACATCACCTGTCTTGGTACAGTGACCCTTTTGAAGGTCAGTATCTGTATCACACAGAAGAATGAAAGCATATAGACTTTGAGGAGTGCAGATTTTGCTTCTAGGGAGTTATACACTTCTGAAGATCAGCTTCAGGTGACTCAGGCAGTTTTTCTACTCAAACCCTATTTACCACAGGAGAAGCAGGTCCCTGTATAGGCTGTGTGGCCTAACAAGACACCCCACCCCCTACAAGCTACAATGACTCCTGTCTTTTTGGAATAAACAAAGCTGAAAACCTCCTAGTCAATATTTGATCTGCTTCTAACAGTGGGCTGGCTGCTTTGTTGGTTTTGGAAAACTGACCTCAGAGGAATAGTACTGCAAATGCATTCTGACCCTTTCCTGAAAAGTCACATGGAGGACTTCATGCAGATGGCTGATAAGTGAATTTACCTGGAAATTCAGGAGATTGATGCTCTGAGTTATATGTTTGCTCAGCACTTAACAATAAGGACAAAGTCAGCAACTACTGAAGCAGCTCAGGCTCATCTTCTGTGAGATTCAAAGCCCCTCTTGCATGAGCAGAGGTTGTAGAAACTTACAACCCACTCAGAACTTGCTTAATCCCAAGACAACTCACTTGCTTGATTTACACCATATTGAAATTCACTTAGAAGATATTCCCTTAAGATCTTGAAGGCATTAATTTTGTCCTTGGCATTGACTTGTCCACTCATTCTTACAGCAAGTTATGAAATACTCTCATGCAAATGTATCTGCACAATTTTTATAAATCTATTTTTGGTGAAAAGGGCTCTCGATACAAAATTATTTGGAAGTCACAAGCTGAAGCCTGGAAAATCACAGAATCATAAAATCAAAGAATGGTTTGGGCTGGAAGGAACCTTTAAAAGGTCATCTAGTCCAACCTACCTGCAGCGAACAGCGACATCTTTAACTAGATGAGTCTGCTCAGAGCCCTGTCCAACCTGACCTTGAATGTTTTCAGGGATGGGGCATCTACCACCTCTCTGGGCAACCTGTTCTAGTGTTTCACCACTCTCACTGTAAGAAACTTCTTCCTTGCATGTAGACTAAATCTCCCCTCTTTTAGTTTAAAACCATTACCCCTTGTCTTGTTGCAACAGGCCCTGCCAAAATATTTTAACTTCTCATTTCCTCTTGTCCCTCACTTTTTGTGGAAGTGTGCAAACCCATTTCAGAACCAACTTTGTACGACAGTGAAATACCTAACTGAGAAGAGCATTTATAGGGGCAGTCCTTTCTGTCAAACACCTTTCCTTCTTATATCAGGCACACACAACCCACCAATAAAGAAATTTGAACAGAAGAAGTTCTGCATTATTACCAGGTAGCTTCATTGGCAGACATATCAGAGATTTATTGCGATGGGGATGTCCTTCACTGGTGTTTGCCAGCAGGCACATCCAGTCTGCTTGGCACCCAGATGTAGTCCACATCTTACCGCCATTTATGACATATTCATTGCCTTTTCTCACAGCTGTTGTCTTGATATCTATTTCAAAACACAGGAAATAAAGGGTTATTCTTGTGAAGGAGGGATAAGCTTGTCCCTGTACAACTGGCGGTCAATCCCTTGCTCCCAGACAACTAATATTTGGTTGTCCCTTCATATCCCCCAAGTCCTCCAACCCTTCCAGGCTGCACAAGGCAGATCAATCTGGACAACTCTTGGAAAGCAAGTCAGTGAAACCAGACCACTTCTCTCATCCCCCTTTAGGTGGAGTCTTCATTGCAGTGTTTGAAAACAGAAAACTTTCCCTAAGTAAACTGGGTCATCAAAAACTCAGGCCAGAAAAATTTCAGTCTCAGGTGACCTAGTAGTTGCTTCTGTTACTGTGCACATTAGTCACCGAGGAGGCCATTAATTTCAGAGTTCTGACTTAATCAAACATAAGTCTCAATATCTGTGTGTGCAGAGAGATAAATGTGCATGTACTTCCTGCATGTTCTTCGTCAGAACAGTGTACTAAATTCAAAGCTAGTAAACTTCCAAAAGGCCAAAGTCTGTGCATAAAGGAGTTCTAAACACTTGCTATTTTTACCCCATGGCAAAAAAACCAGTCTTATCTGTGAGTGTTCACATCACACTGCAAGCAGGCTGACCAGCAACAGACAGCCAGAGTGAATCATTAGTTATGTACACTCAGGAAGAATTTCCAAAGGGCTGGCTTCTTTCCCCTGCAATGGAACTTCTTCTAAAACACCATCTAAGGAAGACTCTCCCAACAGATATCTAGCTACAAGTAGGCAGTGGTATAAGAGAACCCTACCACATCCCTAACGACACCTGTAAATCTTATCAGATTATAAAGCCCATAAGATCCCACCTACTGAAGAAGGCAGCAGACTTGGAGGGTTGGAGTCAGACACCAAGTGTGAGTGGGCAGGCACATTTAAGTCAGCAGGTTATGCCTTCACACACACCCGTCTCAATTTAGAGACAAAGGCTCTAAACATGAAACAAAGGAAAACCAAATATCTGAACTTCATTTACAAGATAAACTAGGAGTGATGTCAGCATGGCTGAAAAGAAGTCTTGTTAATGGAGGAACTGGGTAAAAATGATGAGAGAAAATTGTCTAAGACAAGGGAATATTGGATACAGCTATGACTAAAAGGAATTTACAAGCAGATAATGATGAACAGAAAGGGAAACAGATATATTAACGTGGATAAAAACAGTAGCCATGTAGCTATTCAGTCAATGAAAGGTCTATGCCTAATTTGTCCAAGGGACTTGATATGAAATCTGCATAACAAAGGCCAACAAACTGAAGGAATTTGAAGTACTGATGCTTATAATACATGGACACAGACACTGAACAATCATATACATGGAGACTTAATAACAAATGGACAGACAAGAGCTAAAGTAAGAACTAGGACAAGTAGTGGGAAAAGGATGGAAGCACACATAGTGATTTACATCACACATCCTTTTGCTATGAAACAGCTACTGAAGAAATTAGATAAGAAGTCTCTTGAAAGGTCTGCAGAGGACCAATGAGCACTGTGATTTTATCACAAATGTAAACAGTTCTTGCAAACATGGTGAAACAGGGGACTAACCACACAAATACAGATTAAAGAGCAAATGCCTAATGGGAATGGGAATGCACTAATGCATTAATGGGAATGTTCAAGGACTCCTAAATGTGATGGTTAATAGTTTGCTTTAAACACTTGAGAAACAAGTATTTAAAATCAACTTAGGAAGAATTGATTCTCTTTAACTTTATTTAGAATAAAGATCATCAAGCCAATATATTTTATGTTTGAAATAGAGCAGGCTTTGAAAACCTACTGAACAATTTACTAAAGTCAAGTGGACTCAATCTGAGTGATGCCGATTTGAAGACAATTTAGAATAACTGACTGTTATTCTCCCTGACAGTGTATATCCCTGGGAAAAGGCTACTTCAGTGGGTGCTCCGTAACTCATTTTTGGCAGGTCCACACCACTGTCCCTGTGTTGCCTATCACTCAACAGTTTACAGAGTATGCTGTGAGGGCCCCCTCTAGGAAAAGCTACACAGCATCATCAAAAGGCATATGACACAGAGGTGCCATATAAGCACCCAGGGTTGGTCACTTCAACATCAAAATCACAACATACTTGAGCCTCAAGTTTTCTTCTCTGCTGTGCTCTTGAGTCCAGCCATGTATCTAAACAGGTTTAACAAAAGGCAAGGCTTCAATTTTTAAGGTCAATATTATGATCAAAGATAGGCAACATACATCCTTAAAGTAAAAAATTAAGAACACATATCTGGAATTTACATCAGCAGCATAGGAAAAAATTGCCAAAACTTACATGAAATAGCTTCAAGTCTAACTGAATGAATAATCAGTTCAAAAAACAGGAGATGGCCTACAGGAAAGGGAAGAGATTAGTCATCAAAGTAAGCTACAGTTTGGAGGTCAGAAGGTAAGAACTGCCTGAGGTCAAACCAAGTCATGGTTTCATCTTGCAGATGAAAACCAACAAAATTAAAGAAGATTGAGGCGCCAAACAAAAATGTTTCAGCTACAGAAATGAAAACAGAATGTGATAAAACATGAAACATATAGAAGATGCCTTAGAACTAAAGAAAGATTTCACAGGAGATTACAGAAATATTCACAATATAGCTGTCAAAGCAAGATGTCTGTAGGAAGGACTGTACAGAAATTAAAATTAGTGCAAATAGAAGCTGTTGGCTTTGGCAGTCTGCACAGCCTTAAAATTAATTTATAACGAAAACAAGAATTCAATTTACCAGTGGTATCTTATTTAAAACTGATCTTTTTTATTATGAAAATGACAGATTTTCTAGAGAAAAGCAGAACAGGAGAAACCCTGTAGGACCCAAGAAAACTAAAATTGGTGCTACTAAGTAACTGTTAGTTAAATTTTAAAAACTCCAAGAATTAGGACAAAACTAGGAATGTAGGTAAGGAAGAGGGGAAATTGCATCAGGTTGCCTTAAAAGAGGAAGTGCTGATGTGTAGGAGCTCCTTTATTATTGGAGCTCCCCTTTGGCTATCAGCCTTTGGACCAAACCTATTAAATATTTCCATTAATGATACTTAAAAGAAGGATAGGGATACTCTAATGAAATTTGCTGGTTAAGCAGTCTTGGGAGACATCACCAACACAGAGGTACTGCCCAGCGAGAAAGGAATGATCTTGACTTTTCAAATTCAACATGGTAAGTACTTAGGCATAAAATAGTAAGAAAGACTGATGTATCTTACAGTGTTTTAACAGCAAATCTCTAATGAAGATGATCTGCATAGTTAATCACAAGATTCACAAGCCAGAAGACTGTTGTGTAACATTACATATTGGAGGATAGTATTTCAACTAAAGTTGGAGAAGTCGTTGTGCTATTATAAACAACATGTGCAATTCTGGTTTTTCATGCCCAGAAAAGATGACCTAAACCCAGAAAAGCAGAAAGACTTGATTCCACTGAGAAAAAACAGGACAAGATATCTACATTGAAGAGACAGACATGAACAGGGTTATTTGGTGCCGTTGCCTGGAAGAATTGATAGGATGAGGAAGAAAGAAGAGGAAGGGTCTTCCATGATGTGTTCTTACATATTCCTCCCCGAACTATCAGCAAAACATTATATAAACTGCAGAACAGTAGTGAGATAGAATGAGAAAAAAAATCATCAAAACTGGCAAAAATGTGTGTGCTTTGTGGTGTCAAGAATCCTGACATTACAGAAAGACACTTCATATACCAACTGTTCTGCTTCTCCAGTCATCTCTGTGCTAGTTTTGTTGTACATGGTCAATCCTATGTACAATATACAACAACTACATTTGAAAGCATGCAGGTGCTCCTTCAAATTGACTTGAAATTCATGTTAGACTAATACACACAATCCTTTTTGTTCTGCTGAATTTTTAATAAATTCCAGGCACCTTTAACTTCTCACACAGTGAAACAGTTCTTCTTTGTTTGCTTCACCTCCAGTAACTTTAAAACTGACAGAAGAAAATGCTAGAGATACTTTACTCTGGGTAGTTCTTCAGTTTAAAATACACCAGCTCACATGGCAGAAGTATGTCCCCAACCTTCACATGTGAACAGCGGCTATGCTTTACTACGCCCTTCACTTACCTCAGGGAGACAAACCTCCCGATAGCATGAGAAACAAAAGGAAGTATAAAGTGAAGTTTCACACTACTTTGAAGCTGGGCCACCTAGAGATTACATGTTCTCTCTGCTTCATGCAGACCAGTGCTGCTCAAAACAAACTACTGCTGCTCATGCCTAAGTTGTCCAGCTAATTACCCTTTAGAAGCATTGCAAGCTGGTTTCTGGATTTATACTGGGGGTCAGATCTTCCATGAAAGCTGAAAAAGTACCATCATTTCATCCTGCAGTCTGCCTCCAAGCTTCAGTCTGGGTTCATCACATAAACCTAGCTGATCCCATCTCCCTTTAACTGTAGTAATCCAAGCGTCTCATAACAAACTACATGATAAACAACATGCAGCTAAGAGAATACTTATTATCTGGCACACTGCATCAACAAAATTAAAGTAATATTTAGAAATTTCTGATAATCATCTGATTAGACTAGAGAGATACTAATTAAAATAAATTATGTTGTATTTCCTACGTTAGGAACATTCAAATTTCGAATTATTTTCATAAAAAACAAGCTTATAAAAATCGTGGAATTTTTCTTATTAAGAAAATCAATTATCTAGAAAAGAAAATAGCAATGGGTCATGCAGGAAGATTTAGTCCTGTTATTTCAGATCCAAATTAACTCTCTCGAAAAATACCTGCTGCACCCTTGCTTTAACACTGAATAATTATCCATTTGTCTTGAAAAAAAACATGAGTTTGGTCAAGGAGATAGATGTATGACTCTGCTGATCAAAAATCTTCTGTCAAACTCAGCGATTTCGTCTGCAGGAAGATGTAGTCTCAGTAATTTCTAAGAGCACAATGTGGTCAACTTAGCCATCCTGTGTCCTAGGAGAAATCCAGGGCCAGCAAGACAGGTTCATGTTAATCTGTTGTGCTCAGCCTATACAGGGTTATAGCTATTAAGTCACTGACAAATTCATTCAATTTGATTGCTTTTGCATGCATCAGAGGCATGTGCTACTGCACCTGGAATATTACTTTTTGCCCTCACCACACCAGACTTTCCTTCCTTTCTATTTCTTACAAATGAGTGGCAAAGGGAAGAGTCAAAGAAACCAGATTCTTTCCATTAAAATACCAGGCTGTCTAAAATTGGCAATTTGCTAGGTTAACTTACTTGCAACATCTGACCCAGCTCCAGCTTCACTGATTCCCAAGCAAGCCACAAAATCCCCAGCTATAGTTGGTGTGAGGAACTGTTTTTTCAACTCATCAGAACCAAACCTGCAACAATATAATGAAAAAGATAGGATATTAAAAGCTTTTGAAGGTAAACTATATTTACAAGTTACTAAACCAATTTATTCTACCCACACAGTAATAATTTTTCCTATGACTAGGCAAAACCTGTCCCATAGTCAAAAGACAGAATAGATATGCTCCAAAGCTACAATTCAGTCTTCGCTAGAAGGGCAGCCACAATAATTTAAAATATTGGTTTTAGAAGTATTCAGGCATCTTACTCCCATAGAAACATGTGATCTAGATGCTCAAAGTCTGATCTTTATGATTGTTGTTTTGAGAGCTGTAAGATCTAAGCAAACACAGTCCTTGGGGTTTCTCCTCAATGCTTCTGCACCAGTCTGCACTCAGCCACAATGGAGAACCCAGTTTCTGCCTATTTTGTGGCTTTTACACCAGCTCTTTGCCAGGTTTTAGCAGTGACTGAAAAGTTGTGACATGTGATGCTAACATCTGTATTTACATGATTGATATTCCACATCTGCATTTAAATTGCAAAGTGAAATCCATCAGTGCTTCTTCCCAGCTGCTCTTTTGGTCCTCTCAGGAAGAAAAAGTGAAACAGCAAATTGTTGATAGCACTTCAACAGAAAAATTTTACTTTGCCATATTTCAATTAATTTAAGACACAGTCTCTTTTTCTCCAAAGTTAAACTCCTTTCATTAATTCAAAACATGGTCCATTTTATTTGACAGTTGATTTTGTCCTACTTAACATTCATTGATTCAGTCTTGCACTGTGAATGGTCAGTTCATAGTCCGGTTCTTCAACCTCTCTTGTGTTAGACTGAAAAATTCCTTGGGTCATGAGATATCTTTTATTTGAGCAGAAATCCATAAAAGTCAGGTTCCTCCTCAGATGTCTCTTCAGTATGAGGTGTCTTAGATCAGCAGCTCCTAAGTCTAAGAAGGCTGCAGTTACCTGGGCCCTCTTTCTAAAACACTGTCCCAGTATTTCAAAAGGAGTGATGCCATTTTAGCTAAGACTCTGACTCTTCCTCTCCACTCCAACCCTGACACAAACCAGTCGAAGGAGACAGGAAGGCCAGAAAACAGGCTGGAAGCTGGCAGACATTTTCACCTTGTGCACACAGGGAGCTTGATTCCTAGTCCTGTCTCTGCTGATAATCACGGCAGCAATCCCAAATAAATAAAAGAAGCGAGCCTGGAGTGTTTACTCCTTCCTCCAGCATACTAGAACAAAGTCCCCTGCTCTGTTATGCAGTGTACTTTTTTTTCCCCCTCCCCCCCTTTTCCTTGAGACATAATCAAATATGGCCAGCTGAACATTCACTAGATAAAAAACCCCAACCAACAACATGAAAAATCAGCTCATGAGAGGAGAAGCAGGGATTTTTGGCAATGCTTTCTGATGCTTAAACTTTGCCAGCCTTTAGTTATTTCAACAGAGGATTTCCATGACAAGAACTTTTCTCAGAATAATGTTTTTTGTTTGATATCTTTGTTTGAGTTCCAGAAAACAGTTTTGCTCTTCCCAAAAATGAGGCTACAGAAGAAGTTATTTTGCCATTAAAAAAATAGTCTGGCAACATTATCTTCAGAAGATCATGGCCTTCTACACCTTCCAGGAAGGACACACAGCTCAGCAAGCAGGGAGCTACTATGTTAGAAATACGTTGTTTCTGGAAAATTCTACCCCTCTTAAACGTGTTGCAGAAAAATCTCACATTCACATAAATGCAATACCCACTTCTTTCCAGTTTAACAGCTCCAGAATTAGAAAACTCTGTTTGCAATGATATGCTCTAGCTCAAGACAGACCACACTAAGTCAGCTTTCTGGGCTGGGGCCATACCCCAGATCATAGTTTCCCATGCAATTAACTGTGCAGCCTTAGCATCACTCTAAAATATATTTTCATGCATTTATGTATGTATGCATACATGAGCCCACAGTCAATATATCAGAGCTCCTTGTTGACTCTGGCGAACCTACAAGTCCCAAGTGTGACCCTGACATGTAAGGTGTGGCATGAAAGTGGTCCATCCTTTTTTGCTCTGCACTTTGTAAGTAACATCGGTGGAATGTCATGAACACAAACACAAAAATGAAAATGGTGTATCATCTTGTAAATGATAGGCAAAAAGAAAATAAAACCATGGCAAAATACAGAGGTGGGAACACTTTCTTGATACACATAATTCTGTTTATGTGCCCTGACAATTAGAAATCTGAAGTCACCTTTATTCATCACATATATAAAAAATGGTTTCTGACAGGTTAGATTGCTACATTGAATGAAAATGTCTACAGCATATCAGTATTATGACTTAACTGGGCTGATAATCACCCTGGTAGAACCACAGATCTTACTCACTTTTGTTTCTTCTGCTTCTAGGAAAAAAGCCCAGCTGAAGTGAATTTATTACATTAGTAAGAAAAGTTCTAAGTGGAACTGACAGATAGACTAGTATACTACAGTATTAAGTGTGAATTGAAATTCTGAATATGAACAGCTGCAGGCAGTTCTAACACAACTCTCAGCATCTGACCAGCTCAAGCACTGGAGCTCACACATTCAAGCACTATTCACCAGCAAAGTAAAAGTAAAGTAAAGAAAAAAATAAAAGTTTTCAGATGATCTATGCTTTATTCTGCTCTATCTCAAAGGTGACACAATAGGTTACTTGTGGACTTTCTAGGAATATAAAGATTTCCTTTAGGCAAAGAAGGTGGTAACTTCGGCCTAGTGTCACTCTCCTTCTTGCATACTAGAAAGAGATTAATTTCTCCCAATTCTCTTTCTTTTTTCTATATTCAAACTATTAATAATACAGTAGCCATGTGCCATGCTCTTGCTTCACTGTAGTCCTGCACAGGCATCCTACCACCTGATGTCCAGATCCAGCTTTGCAGTACTCCTTGGATTTTCAAGATACATGAAAAGAAGCAAGGAAAAAAAAAAAAAAAAAAGGAATAGATGCTTCTTACACACAGAGGAAGGATTAGAAGTGCATGGTGAACAGCAGCAAGCACCACTGGGCAGCACAGAAACCTCATTAAGTTCAGTAATTTACATAACCTGGCTTTAAAAAAATCCACACTGCAATCAGTTTTCTCTCCTTGAGACACTATTTCAATCATGATAAGAAGACATGTGAGTTAAAAAAAAATGCATTTAGAAAACTTTTTTTTTGTGAAAGTCGGAATAAGAAAAAAAGCAACAAGAGAAGTACTCTGGCTCCCAGTTTTTATCAAGTCTTTATCTTCAGTCGTTTTAAGTTTTTATTAAAGAAATTGCTCAGTTCGAGCTATTGCTACATTCTGAGATGAATACAGATGAGTAGTCTGTATGAGACTACCTGAGACATATGACTGCCTCATGCAGATGATACTACCCGAAGGGTTTTGGTTAAGAATAATGATGTCAGTATTCTATTTATTTAGGAATGCATTTTGCACTAAAATACAGGTATTGTAAAAGAGGAATTGTATTAAAGATTACTGTGTTCAGATAACGCAGTTTTTAAGAGATACTCATGTGGTTGGTGTCCTGCTGCTACCATACATGCCCTAGAGACCTCAAGGCTGCTCAGCAGACAACCTGCTACCACAGCATGGCCAGGCTGTCATCAGCAGCTGGAGAAATCTCAAATGTATACGGACAGTGTGAATCTGTTCTGAGGAAAGCTAGTTCAGGAGCAGCTGCTTGACTTCATATTGCCCCACCACATTGCTCTGGCCAGGTGAGACCCTCACAGGCATTCAAAACCACAAAGCAGCACAAGTGGCTATGGCTGGAACATAACTGACCATCATGTTTATGCTGCTGTTCAGGGTGGAGAAAGAATCAGTAATGAGTAAGCTGATGAAATAGAAAAACTTTCTTCCCACTAGATAATCATTATCCTTACTGTTTTCCTGCAAATAATCAGAAGAAAAAAAAGAAAAAAAGGCAAGTATACTGCCTACTGCTGAGATAAAGGAGCTCTACACTTACCTGGTATCACTATGGATGAATTGCCTTACAGGTTTTACAAGCCCAGGGAAATGTGTCTTATTCACTGCCTCAGCCTAGAGCTGCTTTCTCCACTAGACTTGTAAGCATGAAAGCAAGAGAAGTATTATACCTGAATGCATCTGAAAGACCTGACGGAGAGTAATGTTCAGAACTAGGTTTTGAACATTAAAGGTTCAGAAAAGGTTTTTTTTTCATCAAAGGTCATATCACTGCTGACAAAACATCTTGTATTTCGTTCACAGATTTAGAAAGTGCTGCTGATTCACTTGGAGGAATCTGGGGGAAAAAATGGAGCAGTCTGGGCATCTTCAGGTGAAACAAAACTATTTTCTCCTGTATTTGTCTGCACAATAGAAATGCCTGTAAATAAAAATCTGCAGGGCTGCTTCCAAGTATGACCATGAATATAACTTTCTGAAGGTTGTCCAAAAAAATCATAATGAAGTAAAAAGGGGCAGGAATAGTGAACAGGCAAAGACATACAGGTAACATTTTCAAAATTTATTATTTATATAATTAAAATTGTTACTACAATGTACTTCCCATTTAACTGAGTATCTCAAAGACCTTCACAAACCAAACTTTTCAACAGCTACAACTTGTCACTGAAGCAAGAAACCATGGAAGCTGCAGAAACAGCATCAGGAGGCATCCTGCCTCTAGATCTTTTAAGACTTTATTTTTCTGAAGTATGAAAATTTTAAAAGTGTGTGCGTGCATATGTGTATCCATTTGTTCAAACTGCTGTGCTGTTATATATCCAACTGAGGGAACATCTCTAATTTATAGTGGTGGAGCTTCATGACATATCACATTCACACTGTTGGTTTACAGGTGCACTCAACACATGCTTGATGAATGCTGAATAAAGCCAAAAGTTAGGAAAGGGATCATGTTCGATTCCCACACTACTGTTTACTTTGTGCATGGTTGATGCATCATGTGCTAAGATGCAAAATTTCAATTATCTCTTTGAACTTGTTTAGGATCACCTCAGTACAAAGATACCTTTTAAAGACTGTGAATACAATTTGAATTCATGAACCCTCTAATTACACTGCATAAAGTAAAGCTGCACCCATGCAAAATTTCCAGTAGCAACCAGTTCTCTTTTCACTACAGAGTTTTAGTTTCGTATCTTAAGAGTGGGACACTGCATGACTAGTCAGTGGAACTGACTTAACAGTGGACCAAAAGTTCACTAACACAGATGCAAATTCAATTACAGATTTAGTCATTTTAATGACATTTTCACATTTACTTTCCAAAATATCCACTTCAGGATTTCACAAATGTATGCAGCTTCACTGCTTTACTATAGTGGAACAGAGTAAGAGAAGGCCAAAATACTGCAATGGAACAAAACCCCATCTTCTTTTACCCACAGAATTTTTTAAACTCCTGGGAATAAAAGGCTATCATGGGGGCAAGCAAGGTACTATTCTCTGAAATCTTTTAATATATGTTTTATTCTCAGCTGGACTAACTAAACTACTGTTGCAACAGACATACTGAACTTTCTAAGTGCAGAACATAATAACATGCTTTCATCAGTCTTTGGTTTATTACCCAAAGGAGAAGAAAGGAGAACTTGTTAGAAAGATTTCCCATGGCTGAGACCTCTGAAGTCACACGTACCTAGCAGAAGCATAAGTGGATATCAAGGGAACAGAGTCATTCCAGACTCTACAGTGGATTTGCAGGTATTTTCAATCAGAATGGGAAAAAAAAAACAAACCACCAAACAAAACATCAACAAACAATCCAATCCTAAAATGGTCTTCTGCGCAAAATTTCCCCTCTTGTGTATCTGTTTCGTGCAGAGAAATTCATGACTTCATCATCATTATTTTAATATAATCCCCACCACAACCTTACAGAATTTTAAGAGTATTCATGTTCCAGAGGCAAACTTCTGGACCAGCCTGTAACCTTCCTCTAGTTCTGCAAACTGCTGTTTTGATGCAGAATGTCTGTGAAACTACTACATCAAGAAGTTGGTAACTGCTGCTGTTATTGAGGGAGAAAAAACAAACAAACAAACAACGGATTCAAAAAGTGCAGGAGCCTGAATGACAGCAAGTGATAAAAGGGAACACTGACACAAGCAGATGAGAAAATGCAAATTGAGTAATTGCCTGGAATGGGTGTATTTAAGGAAGCATATGATACAAGTGCTACAACTTTAGAACTTACACCAATATTGATCATTATTTCTGAAAAGTCACAGTCAGCAAGGAGCACCTTGTAAAGCTGGAAAAAAGCAAGTAAATTATAAAATAGAATTAGACTGCTCCTAATCATCACAAGTAAATGCATCCTCAGTATGACTGCACTGGGATATCTGGCTAAAAGGCAACACAAATGTGAATAGTGGTATTCTGGAACTAAAATGGTTTTATTGGTTGTGGCACCAAGGTTCTTTGTTTGTAAACATACCACCCACTACTAAAAAAAGCATATTTTCTCCTCTAAACCAAACTGTATGAGAGAGCTAGAGTGTAAGTTCCTTTGTCAAGTGTTGCTGAAGAGCAACTAGACAGTAAATCTGCACATTAATTTTTTTTTTCTTCCTATTTTTAGACAGATTGAGTTTTAGGCCTAAACACATGATGATTTGAGTTTTAGACTAAATCAAACTTTCTGAAAGTTACCTTGCAAGAGCTGGAGTAGCCATGCTAGCTTGCACTCCAATAGCCATAGGAATACCTCCACAGCGAATATTTCCCAGCTCCTCTGCCACTGCAATGCTATAGGAGAAGTCCAAGCCCATGCCACCATATTCTGAGGAAAAAAACAAATTGATGACACTTACATTCTAGACTGGCATAAACAACAACAAGAAAAAAAAATATTGCTACTGCAAGGACTTGCCAAGTGCAATTTCACTGCTTATTTTTAAATATTTGATAATTACCAGTTTTCTTTTCAGAAAAGCAATGCCACACTATTCTTTACACAATCAGAATTTAAAATCACACTTGCTCTAATTACCTGTGTGCACCTCAGGTCATCTCTGAATATCCTAAGTAGCATCATTACTTTTACTGGAAACAGGAGGAAGAAGTGATGTGCTTTTGAAAATGATATCAGAAAGCAAAATTATTCTTTCTAACAGCAAGGTCATATGAACAAATCACCATAAGGCGCTTTTATTTCCCCATGGTAACCCCCGACACCTGGTCTCACCTCTCAAGCCACTCAAGCAGATCTCATCTTTCTCACAAGCAGCAGTCAGGCCAGCACGGAGCAAGACCATGTGCAGGTCATGCTCCCTTGTTAAAGTTTCTGCCGTAACTCAGAGCCTATGTTAGACACAAGTACAACACCAAACACCCATATTTCATATCCTGGCACCTGGCCGGTGTAGTCATTAAAGCATTTTTCATTAGCAGGAGGCTAATGACCCAGGGCACTGGCCAGGCACCAGCACAAGCTGTTCCTCTTCCCCACATTCCAATCTGCAAGTTCAGCTAAAGAGGATGTTATTCTTCACCTCCACCCCATGCCGACCACTGATAAACCCACCCCGCAGCAAGACACAGAAAAAGGGCTACATCACTATGATGGATGAGACAACTTCTAGTTGTATCAAACGGTTTACAATCCAAATTAAATATGGTGATAAAGTTACTGCTTGACATCATTAGTTGACTGAGAGGCTTCAATTAGATAACATTTTCCTAGTTTTTTTAACTCATTTGAAAATCGACTGAGAAAATTTAAAAACAAATACAATCTCCCACTCCTCAGATAAAACATGGGGCAGACAACCTTGTTCCATTTTCACTTGCTGACATCAAACACTATCTGAGCTCACCTCTCTATTGACCTGCTTTGAAGTTTTCAAAAAACACCATTAATTAAAAATCAAAACACCAGAGTGCATGTAAACACAGAGCTTTGTGTGATATCATCTGTTTCCTAAACCCACAGAAACCATCTTTGTGCATCCTTTTTCTGCAGAAAGAAAGGAAAACAAATGGAAAAGGCCAAGCATGAAGTTCAATTTTCAAATAACATTTCTCCTTAGGTCATCCTGAATAGTCTGGGTTGTCAGAACTACAAAAATAGCTTTTTTTCCAAACTTTTACCTGGAAATAAACAATGTTTCTTAGAAACATACATAAAATTAAAATTCACAACTGTGAGCTTAAGCAGGACAGTGAAACAACAGTAATATGGGAATGTGTTTAGCATAATATGTAATCCAGTTCTCTTGCCTTTACAAAGCTCCCATCCATAAATAAATGCTCTGAGGAACAGTAAGGGATGTATGCATCCAAGGGCAAAGCTATTTAAAGATATGTGTTATGTGAGAGGTTTTGCTGATTTTATACGGCTCTGTAGCAGTTACAATAGATAACAGTTTTGGCACTGCACAAATGCTTTCCTTTTTTTTTTTTTTTTAATTAGTCATTCATTTTATTGCCAAACTACAGTTTTTACTAATTTTGTCATTGTTTTTTTATACCAAGAAATAATATTCCTGTCTTTCACTTAATTTCACAAATCAGAACATTAGTTTCTTGATTTAACCAAAGCAACTTCACAGGAGGAGCGCTATATACAAAAATTGACCCAGTGAAGGACCATATTATGCAAGTGTACAGCTTACATATATTTTTTTGTTCACACAGTTCATTATATATTACTATATCACAGACTTGCTTTTCTCTCATTTGAGATTAGTTACTAAAGGGTACATTTTAAAAACAAATGCTGGAAAAGGTCAGCTCTCAAGTGATAACACTTGAAGGAATTTTCTACCAAGGGGAGGAAACAATCAATGAAGCTGAAAAGATGGAATGGGGAAGCCTTACCAGGCAAACATGATGCATTCCCTCTGGGGATGGATAACGCAAGAGACAAGCACAGATGCAGACATGCAGGAAGGGCAGAAGCAAACAGTCAACACATGAATCAGACAACACTTCACTCTTCATCGGTTCTTTTCCAGGAGTCAAGGAGAAAGTTTCATGGAGAAATGCGAGTGATGTGACAGATGATTATAGGGAATGCCTCTTTTGAACCCAAAGTACGTGATCAAGACAGAGGTGCACTTGCCAGTGCAGTCTGTGCAGATATGCCCTGAAGTAATCCGGGTAACTCATGTCATGGCTAAAACACTGGTGTCCCATCTCTGTGCAGAACTGGATCTCTGCACTGAGACACGCTGCCAGCAGTGCCACATGCAGCAGCAGCAGCAGGCAGCACTGGCTCCAAGCACCCATGAAACTCTATTTTTTTCTTACACTTTTCAGAGTAACCCTTATTTGCAGTAAGTGAATAAGCTGGAGGTAGCAGGGTTGTGTTTGACAGTCTCATTAACAGACAGCACCTCCTGCAAGTATCTCTACAATGCCGTAATTCTAATAGGTCAATTTCATTTTAATTCAGAAAAGCAAACACTACTCCTAATATTTTTGGTGAAAAAGCCATAATGAAAGAAACCAAATCAATTTCAGAGTCAATTCAGAGAATAACAACCTACATGGAAATATACATACATAAAACATTTCTAGGGTAAAAAATTGATTTAACCTAAAAATGAGATGAGTGGCCTTTAGAGAATTGTTTGGCTACACTTCCATTTTTAATTTGCAAGAAATATTAAAAGAACAAAGCAAAGCAAAACTAGGCAGAAAGTCTAACACACTAATGCTTTTATAATTCAAACCAGGCAGAAGGAGGCAACTCGGCTATATTCAGAGTGTTACTGTTTTTCTGCCAATAGCACAACTCCCAGAAGTTAAACGGTTTAATCAGATACCTTATCCATTGTTCAATTTCAGGTTCTTGTACAAAGAAATTAAATTATAAAGCCCAAACCAAGAACACATGAACATTCAAAGAAATAAACTATTTCTATTTTATCTTGACTTTGTGCTTTTCTACTAATTATCACCACCACATTATTTTATTAACCCTCCAAAAACCTCTCAAAAGCTCCTTATTTTATATAGACCAGCTTATTTCTGCATGGCAAGTTTTGTGGCACTGCCAGTGGAGTGGGAGTTCAAGAGGAAACAGCAAGTTTTAAAAAACATAATTTTTTAAAGATGTGGATATACCTTCTACTAAATCTGACAATTTAGGGTATCAGGACTTTTATGTATGAATACAGGCAGACAGCAAAGATGATATCAAAAAATACAAATTAAAAAGTAAGACTATCTGATCTTCACCTGCAACATATCAAAACAGAAACACTACTGAGAAGATTAGCTGGGAAAACAAAGGCAAAGAATGTCTGCAGCAAAGGACTTCTAAAAGCAAAGGAGAAGATGAGGTCTTTCAAGTAATTTGTTCATTTTTGTGAAGACCAACACGTTTCTTGTCAATTGTTCAGCTACAGGTTCCCTGTTCAAATATAACTCTTCAATTTTGAGATAGGCTTGAACTCTGTAGTCCAAATTTTCTAACAGTTTAGCAGTTTTTTTTTTTCTTCTGCACCCCATCTAATACTGTCAGTGGGAATGACAACATCCATGGTGAAAAGGGTCTATAAGTGAGTTGAAACAAAGTGAAATGGGGTTTTCAGAGTGTTTTAAGAATGTAAGTGAGCCTGGAAAAAAATTAATGGTGAAAACAAAATATGGCCCTATCAGTAACTCAGTTTGTAATGCTTACATAATTTATCTTGTTTGTTTACATAGCTTCCAAATTTCACATAAAGTGTATCTACACCAAAGGAAATCACACAGTGTTATTCCTACTATTGGCACTTAAGTCAGTGCGAGAAAACACAAACAGTGCTCTTATTTCCAGTGTCTAAAAAGACAAATAAAATATTAATCAAGTCCCATTTTGAAGACAGGTCTGAGAAACTCCGACATCTGATGCTAGAATGACAAAAATTTCCATTTTTCAGCATTTTAAATTCACAGAAGCAAAATTCAAATATTGAAACCTTATTCACCTGTCATAAATGCAGTTCAAGAATTTAAACTCCAGAAGACTATGAAGAGCCCTGAAGTTACAGAACTGCAAATGTCATCAGGTAGGACAGTACAGAAATCCTACCATAATTCCTTTCCTCTTCTTTACATAAAAGGGATGTAAAGAATTACCAAAGCTGTATGCTCTGTGTTGTGCAGTTTTCACTAACCCGTTCAGAAAAGCTGAGGCTGATCAAACTCAGAAAACACCTCCTGCCTTCTTGGTATTTGCTTCTTGCTGGGCGCAGTGGAAAAAAACCTCTCATTTCACATAAACACTGTGAGTCCAGTTCAGTTTTGTTGAGATGAACACATAATATTTTTGGCTACTTCCCCTGGATCAGTTCACACAAAAGCCCCCAAGCAAACAAAAAAGAAACAAACTCTTTGTAGTAGATGGAAAATTCCCTTTAACAGATTACCTTAGTCAGATGGATCAAAACCCTCAGCTGACTGAAAGTTTGTCCCAAACCAGGAAAAATTACAGTGCCTTATAATTTTGTTTGGTTGATCCTAGAATGATCAGGACCACATACAGTACTTGATCTCTCACAGATACTCACTTGTTCATCCAAAAAATTCAAGGTAGACAAGGACCTCTTCTGCTATCCAGCAGTTTTACTTGTAGTATCACTCTTGTGATCCAGTACTTTTTAGAAAAGGAAAAATAGGGATTGGCTGTTCATTCCTTTTCAAACATACATATTTAGCAGCACAACTATAATCCTTTAGCAACTAACAGAGCAAATTGGGTTTTCCAGTTGGGTGTTGCAATACTTACTGCTATAGAAGTCATCACAGTTGCCATTTCAGAAACTAAATTTACTGACATGAGCAAATTGATCAGATCTGTCTAGTACTATTTTAGATTAAGACAGAGGTACATTGGAAAATACAAAAGAAACGCCTCCCAGAGTGTCAGAATTTTAAAAATCCTGTAAAACCAGCACAAAATACCAGCTAGGAACTTGGCAGTGCCTGCTACTGAGCAGATAAATGCACCACACAGACTTCATCCTAGCTGGGGGCAGCATGGACACATGCAAAAAGAGTTCCAAGCTGTATAGGACACTGCTCTAGAAAGCAAGAGCAGTGTATCTTAAAGCAGTATATCTTAAAGTTGACAACAGCTCCACTCGGTACCCTCTGACTTCCAAAAAAACACCCTCAAAAATTTGTAAGTTTTCTTTATTTTCTGAATGTTTATGCAGTGTCACCAAGGGCCATGTGAGAGAGCAGTTACATCTGCATGGATCTTCAAACTCAGAGGATATCAAAACCTCTTCAAAATAAAATAAAATAAAATTTTAAAAAAATC